ATTTTAATGATATACTATTATAAAAATACTATGAAAATTTGATTTTAATTTAGATTCTGATAATGATCTAGCATCTAAAAAATCTAGCACTAAACCTAAGTTTAGTACAACTATGATTGGCTCTGATAATAATGAACATTTTAGTAGTTGTTCTCCATTGCCAAAATTATTAAATGATTATCCTCATGAAGCCATTATTGATGGTAAGAATATTCTAATGTCTAAATATTTTACTATTTATTGTTTCGTCAGCTTTGAAAAAAAAACTATTATTCTTGCTATATTTATGATAATAAATTATTGATATTACTTTTAACTAAGTAGTTTGTATTACAAACATAGATTCTGAATATAAACAGAGGTATAATAAGGAACCTAACTATTCACCACCTGTCACAAGTGAATCACTTAAAACCATTGATTATAACAAAACTAAAAAGCAAAACGGTTGGTCGCCATTAAAATTGAGTAGTCCAGATAAAAATGTTAAAGGTAATATTATATATTTTTACTTAATTGAAATGTAATATTGTTTTATCAACAAATTTATACTGAATCTACTATATTTATAAATTAGCATGTTCCATTTTAATTATTTTACTAGCTACATATAACTAATAAATATGTAATTTTTTTGAATTTTAGATAATAATAAAAAGCCCCATTTAAAAAAACAGTGGTCATCCAAAGATACACCTTCTACATCAACTTTTAAATCATATAGTGGAAGAGAGTACAGTCACAGTGAACCTTTCCTGTCAAAAAGAAACGTTAAATGTAATAATATGTGCTTTTCTTATTAAATTTTAATAATCTTATTAATAATGATATTTTGACACATATTATAATATTAAACAGTTCTAGATTCAGGTAATAGTGAGCCAATATTTAAAAGAAAACCATCATCCACATATACACCAACCGCAAATTTGGATTCATTAAGTAGTAAAAAACAACTTGGTCCATATTCAAAAATTAATGGTAATGCATTTCTATATCTATAGTTCAAATTTGAAGATTTTAATTTATATTGGTATTTTTCAGACAATGAACATTCTGTAGTGCGAGGATTAATGTTAAACTCCAATAGTCCTGATGAGTATGAGTTATCCTTCTCACATTCTAATTCTTTAGGAAAAAAGAAAAGTTATTACATAGAACAGGATGGTCCAAACTGCGGTGTTGTGGTAACTGAAAAACATTTTAGTCACGGTGAACCTTTATTGGCAACAAGAAAAGTTAAATGTAATAAAATGTGCTTTTCTTATTAAATTTTAATAATCTTTAATGATATTTTGACACATATTATATTAAACTGTTTTATAATTTTAGATTCAGATAATAGTGATCCACTATTTAAAAGAAAATCACCAGCCACATGTACACCTACTGCAAATTTGAATACATTTAGTAGTAAACAAAAAAATAGTTCACCATATTCTAAAATTAATGGTAATGTGTTTGTATATCTATATAGTTCAAATTTTAATATTTTAATTTAAATTGGTATTTTTCAGACAACAAAAATTCTGTAGTGCGAGAATTATTTTCTAGCTCCAATAAGCCTGAGGATGATGAACCATCTTTCTCACATACTAACTGTTTCGGTAAAAAGAAAAGTTATCATGTAAAACAGGATGATGGTCCAACCGGTGGCGTCATAGCTGAAGTTACACCTCAACGCTATTCAAATGGTATAATCACAATATAATAATAATAATATAATATGAGCTATTATAGTTATTAATACATCAATAATTATAAATAAAAAGTTTAAAACGCAGACTACTATTTCTAAAAATGAAATCTACAAATTAACTTGAAAAACTGTGTTGAACATGTTAGTTTTTATATTTTTATTTTATTTTAGTTGAAAACCATAAAAACTCATAGATTTAAATTAATAATTAAAAACTAAATTCAATAAAGTTGTATTCGTCTGTAGTAAACATGCAATAATATCTTTTATTTTGACAATAACTTTTTGTTAAATTTATACTTATATAAAAAAAAATATTAAAATAACTTTTTATTTAATTTAAATTAAAACTATAAGTATTATAATAGTATAATAGACTATTTTGTTAATATTTTCAGATTTTCAAAAGCAGGTATTACGTATGCTTACATACTTGACAAGTGAAGTACGATATTTGGAATCTGGACAATCAGAAATACTTAGAAAAATCGAAAATGCAGCATCTGACAACAACTTCAGTAATTCAGAAACATTATCAGAAAGTCTATTCAAAGACCTTACAGATTGTCCATTACCAATTGACAATATATTCGATCTTAACAAACTTGAAGATAAATTATCGGAAGATAAATGTTTTCGTAACAAATTGGTAGTTAAATAATTACACTTACTGATAAAGTTAAAAATAATTATATACTTATTACTTTTTTTATTAGGTTAATGAATTATCTTGCACAGGAGGAAAAAATTTAAAATTAATGGTAAAAAGAATTATGAATAAATTATTTACTGATAAACTTATGTCCCAATATTCGTTTACTGGGAAAAAAGGGAAAAACAAATTCAACAGTTTGTTTGTTTGTGCTGTTATTTTTGGTAAGTTGTGTATAATTATTTATTATAATTCAAAACCCCTTTGATATCAATACTTGTATATGCACATGTATATACATATTTATATATAATGTTAATTAATTCTATTCTCCTACAATTTTATTTCAATTTGTTAATTATTATAATAATAACACAATATTATGGATATTTAATATTTATAAGTTGTATAACTACAATATTGAATTGAAAAAAAAAATACAAATAATTTTTGAAAACCACCTATATTATTTTTTTATTACATTATTGTTTCCTATATATCAAAAATAGATGTAATGAGACTAAGATTTTATGTCATATAAATATGACATCCGTTTATAACAATATATTAAAATACATTAATGCTATTTTCTTTTTAGATTCTATTAAAAAAAGCAACAAATCTTGCAAAACTGCATCGGTTGATGAAATTGAGGAAAGAATAAAATATAATTTGGCACAAGCACCATTCAATAAAAAAAATGTTTCACAAAATTAAATAATAGTGAGTATATTATATATATTATTATATATATATATATATTATATTTCTTACAATTATAACTACAATAATCATTATGACTATATTATCATAAAGAATTGATTAAAATATAGAAATATTATAATAATGTATAACCTGCACTTAATATTCAATTAAAGACTGCATAATTTATTGATTATTAATATTATATAATATATAATAAGTCATCATAAAATAAAATTTGAGTTTGGTTGAATTTGACTTTTCTGATCACATAAATGTTGCATTACCATAAAAACCTTGCAGGCTTTGATATTAAAATATTCTGTGCTTTAATTTATTTTATGATTATTTTCAGATGAATATAATAAATGCTGAGCTAATATGCAGATAACTGTTGGATTTATATTTGCTATATTTCATGATGTTAATTTGCATTTACTTTTTTAACAATAAATTATATTATATATATTGAGTATTTCATTTTATACCTACTTCTATACTTAATTCCTGCCTAAGTACTCAGCTGTCCCATATAAAAGTAACTTCAGGTGGTTAGTCAGTTGACATGCAATTGTTGTTGGGTTGTGGCCAGGCAACTCCAGTTTTTCTCCCCCACTATAAGAAAATCATTTGTATGCTATGTAGTAAAATCTCACTCGTGCGATGAAGCATGGAGCCTGAGCCCTGAAGTATCTTATTATATAAGAAGTAGTAAAGAACTAGTAAATATGTCCATATATAAAGCATATATAATTTATTATAGTTGTAGTGTACAAGTATAATATAATATATAACCCAGTATGAAGTTTAGTATTGTTTGTTAACTAAAAAAGTCAACTCTAAAAGTATTAATAAAACTTTAAAAATTAATTTGACTTTAAATTATAATTAATTATTATATAATATAATATTATTATATATTTTTATCTTACTACTTATAATTTATATCTATTGGCAACATGCCAACATCCAAATACAATAAAATAAATATTTTTTAATCTTTTAAATAAATGTAATTGCAATTTTTATAAAACATTTATTGACTTTTAATAAATAATTATGGAATATTAAAATACAATGGTTTTACAACTTTGGTTTACAAATGTTTAATAAATGTTTAGTGTTTGGTATTTAAACAATAAATGTTTCTGGTTCAACAAATATTTATATGACTTTTATTATATATTTTAAATTATATACCAAATTAATAACAAACGATTATTAAATATTGTCATTAGAATTAGAATATTTAATAAAAATTTTAAATATATTTGTTTGCTGTGTGGGCAGGCAGATATTGCCGTGATCCGGAGAGGGACGAGAGCCTATATCGTCATGTCTTCGATGAAGAAAAACGGTCTTTGGAACGTCATGGAGCGCTTCGATCTGGTCCAGAACATGCGCGCGGGCAACGACGCGGACTTTGCGTCTTGGTTGCTTCAGCTCGGCAACGGCCAACTGCCCGCGGTCGACGGCGTTCCGGACACAGTGGAAATCCCGCAGGAAATGGTATGCGACGTCGCCGATTTAATAGATTTCGTGTATCCGCAGCAAATGTCGTTGGCCAACCTTGAAGAATTTGCTCGGAGAGTCGTCGTGTGTCCCACCAACGAAGAGTGCAGAGGTCAGTGTTTATTTCAGACCTTCTATCCCGGGGGGGTATCTTAAATTTTCAAGGGGGTATGCCTTAGAAGTAAATAATTAAGGGAAGTGAAAATATCGTTTTAAGCTCAATTTATTGGTATTAGAAGGATACTTACGAATACATAAATTCTTAAAAAAAACTAATTTTGATTAATTGTATGAAAAAAAATATAACAGACATTTACTATACATACAAATATACAATACTTATACTTATACATTACTTACACATTTTATATTATTAATAGTACTCCATTATGAGCTTAAGTCGTATATATTTTAATATTTATTATGTTTATTAAGTTAATTTAAACGAATCCGGCGCTGTTTTTGACGTGCGTACAAATCAATTACCTCATTCACAGTATCTTCATCGAGTTCTGAGGGCCCTTCTGTGCTAATTTTCATGCAGGATTGCAAAGTTTCTTGTCCCATTCGATTTCTTATTTTGTTCATAATCCTATTCATCGTACTGAAAGAGCGCTCCGCAGTGGCCGTTGAAACTGGTACACACATTAAACATTCAGCTAGTTTTTTCAAATTTGCATACCCAATATTTGCTTTATAAATATATGACAGTGGATTTTTTACATTTTCTTCTATCAAACTATTTGCAACATACTTAAATGAATTCAAGTCTATCCAAACATTGGTTGGTTCAAGACTATTAAAATATAAACAAATTTTCAATATATCTTCTTCAACGATTTTAATTAAAGATTCAAATGATTCAAATAAAGCACTTAATTTAATTATTTCCAGTGATTTTTCATTAAAACGTAATTGCATTTGTTCTATCATTGTATCAACAAATTGTTTAGCTGCTTTTAGACTTTTCATTTTCAACTATTTGTCGTGAACTACATACATATTTTTTTAATGTATTTATACATGTATGAATTGAATTATTCTCGTCAATTGATGAACACTGATCCGAAATTTTTTTAAGATGACCAATCGAAGAAGAAATTAAAACTGGTACTGATGATAGCTGTAAATTTTCTTTTTGTAAGACTTTGCTTAAGTTATTGACTGCACCTAAAGCCTCATCAAGGACAACTAATGTAATTAAAAAACTTGACTGGGTGATTTCTAGCAGAATACCTCCTGCTAGTGATGCAAGATCTGCTCCGTCAGTATGTATATGCTCACATGCCAAAATAATTGATCTATAACACTCTTTGACTGCATGAATTGATCGATGATTACTTAACCAACGTGTATCAATAGTTTCCGGTATTTTCAATTTTTTTTCATTTATGGCTTCTTGAATATCATGAAATATTTTTTCACGTTTAGCAGATTGATGAAATAATTTATAAATATCTTTAACTACTTGGGGTGTTCGTTTAATTGAAACATATTTATTTCGAGCAGAAGTTAATGCTAATGATAATAAATGAGCTCTACAATGAATATATGGTATTTCTCTATGTGCTATTTCAGATAGTCTTTTTCGTACTCCAGTTATACTACCAGAAAAATTTGCAGCACCATCAAAACCAAGACTTATTAGTTTCTAATCAAGTCCTCTTTTTTTTAACTCTCGATCAATAGTTTCTGTTATGGTTTGCCCATTTGTGCTAGACAATTCTACGATGCATAAAAATAATTCTCTAATTTTACCACAATCTGTTACAAAACGAATAATTATTGTCATTTCACAAATATTTTTAATATTTGTCGACTCGTCAGCCATTAATGAAAAATAGTTATTTTTTAATTCATTTGAGTCATGAGTTTCAAGAACAGTGGAAATACAATTTAATATTTCAATAGCTGTGTTTATACTCAGTAAGTCGATCTGTCGTTTTGTTTTTTTACCCACTCAAGTAAAGTTGGATTTTGTTTTAGCACTACTTTATTTAATAATGGTTCATATTTAGTAGTATGAGGAATTTCTTCTTTTGCCAAAAAATAAACACTATGCACAAAAGTGGAGAAATTAATTCTATTTTGTATTTTTTCTGAGTTACTTTGTTGAATCATTTGTGTATGAATAGGTTCATTTTTTCCTTGTAAAAAAAATTCGTTCAAAGCTAAAGCCTTAGAATGATTTTCTGAACAAGCGTGTTTTAAGAGCTTACCAGTTTTACCAGTAGCTTTTCGATAATTTGTAAATGGAGTACATATAAAAATACCTTGTGATTTCTGTAAGGCACTTTGATTATTACTAAGAAATTTTTCACATACCTTACAAAAAGCCCCACCTTTTTCAGCATTAAAATACAGCCAGTTAAATGATTTTTCCCAATTTTTTTGATAAGAGTAAGTTTTAATAAATTTCGTGGGTGAAACCGGTGAAGGTATAACCGGTGGGTCATCAACGTCTTCTTGTTCTCGCATTGGCCGCATTTGTTTTTTTCGAAACATATCTAATATAGGATTATTTTTACGTTTTGACATAATTACTGGCCAAAAAACACTAAAACAAAACCAAACTAAAACAAATCAACCAAACTGCAGTTTGACGTAGTCGTAAACGCGTAAAACACTACACTGACAGTCGACAGAAGACAGCAATGACAATATTAAGCAATAAAAATTATCTACATGCGATAACGGATAAGGTATCTAAATATATCCTTATCGATTATACTGACCACTTGACGTACAATTTATTGATATACGAAAAGGTACTACCCAACAAATTATTAGATTAAACATTTATTTTATTTTATTATCAACCGACGCACAAAATAACTCACATTCGGCCGATAACTCGTTTCACATATTATCGCATCACAATATGTAGTTGACCTAATAATTTCATACATTTTTCCCCGGGGGGGGGGGGGGGATTACCTCCCCGGTCACCCACCTGAAATAAACACTGGCAGAGGTGTCAACGCGGACGTGCTGGAGCGCTTCGCCGGTAATCCGGAGACCTACCAGGCCGTCGACACCGCGCTGGTGGACGGGGCCGACGAAGTGGCCAATTTCCCCACAGAGTTCCTCAACGGTTTGGAACCGGACGGCCTGCCACCGTTCCGGCTGTCGTTGAAGGTGGGGTGCATCGTCATGTTGCTCAGAAATCTCGATCCGAGGAGACGACTGTGCAACGGTACGAGGTTGGTGGTCACCCAACTGCGACGTCACAATTTCAAGGCGAGAATTTTGGGCGGCGACCCACAGGACGACGACATCGTCCTGCCCAAGATACCGCTCACGTCCATTAGCGAGGACGACCTGCCCATCTCACTTCGACGCCTTCAATTCCCGGTGAGGTTATCGTTCGCCATGACCATCAACAAGTCGCAGGGTCAGACGTTCGACAGGGTAGGTTTGCTACTGACGTCGCCCCCGTTCACTCACGGCCAGCTGTACGTGGCGTTTTCGAGGGTGAGAAACGCACAGTCCGTGAAAGTCGGCATGTACGCCGATGACAGCGGGCGATTCGTCACCAAGAACGTCGTGTACAGGGAAGTTCTGTGATGCAATAAGTGGTAAGTATATTCTAGGTGATGTCCGACGATCGAGTCTAGATGATGGTGATAGTCTGGTTGACTTTAAACCTGACATGTGTAACATATTTTTCAAACATAATACGTTAGGTACACCGCTGTTATAATGTTCTGTGTACTGCATGCGCCCGATGATAGTCTGGTTGACTTTAAACCTAACATGTGTAACATATTTTTCAAACATAATACGTTACACCGCTGTTATACTGGTCTATGTACTACATGTGCCCGATGATAGTCTGGTTGACTTTAAACCTAACATGTGTAACAGTTTTTTCAAACATAATACGTTATACCGCTGTTATACGTGGTCTGTATGGAGGTACTTCGTGATGACCTTGCCTTCGGGCTAAACGGAGAGAAAGTTTGACAACCTCCTCGTGGTTCTCTCTGGATGCGGATTCACTATAATGTGAAGCCGTAACTAATGTCAAACAATGTATGTAATGTCTGTGTTATTTGCATAGATAGTACAGATAGTGCAGACAATTTATTTAATTTGAATGTTGTATTTTATTTGTAATGGAACATTAATTTAAGATTCTAATGTACCTAAATTAAATGATGTAAATAACATTAATAAGTCAATTTCACTATGTTTGTTATTTAATAACTAGCTGATCCCGTGCACTTCGTCGCCCGTTAAATGGATCAACTCAATACTACCTACTCAAACTTTGTTCAATTCATTAACGTGTATGGTGTTCAAAATTTATCTTATCTTTCCCGTTGCCCTGAATAAAAATTCTGAATCGCAGCAGTACATTATCAGGTAGGCAATCTACCTGCGGTAGATCGCGGACCACGTGCTGTTTGTACGGAAGTGTATGATTTAACTCTAAAGTATCAAAGTTATACCAAGTTTATTTTGATGTAATATAATAAATTTGGTTGCTCGTAAAAAATCGCAACTCTTAAAAAAATTATGATTGTTGAACTCCTTTTGGGTGTAATTTTCTGCGGTAAGTGCAACTCTGCCACCCTGGTAAGCATTGTTCAATAATTCGATTTGATGCAAGCTTGTACCTGATCTGCCCGAATAACCAATGGCAACCAATAAATAAATGCTAATTTCTAATGTAGACTGTAACCAATGGCAACTATAAATAAATAAAAATAAAATTTCCAATTTCTATCGTGAATCTCAATGTCCCTGTTTCAGCACCTATTTAAAATGCGAATTTTGGCAAATCCTTTCTTAGCGCACGTCTATATTATAATAGCTATCTGTATGCCAAATTTCAGCCAGATCCGTCCAATGGTTTGAGCTGTGCGTTGATAGCAGTCAATCAGCTTACTGTTTTTTATATACAGATATGGTTGCCATGGTAATATGGACACACACACACACACACACACACACACACACACACACACTGACATACATTCATTTTTATATATATAGATTGATATGAAATCTTGGTAACCTTAGTAACCATGGCAACCTTGGTAACCATGGTAACATGGACACACAGACACACAGACACACTGACACACTGACATACATTCATTTTTATATATATAGATTTTTATAATTACCTGCAGTAGGAGTATCAGTTGGTAAAATCTCACTGACTGATGGTATTTGAATATGTTTATCATAATCATTTTGGCCCAACAGATAAAACTTAATTGATATTTATAGAAAAAAAAACTAAAAAAATTGAAAACTGAAAATGTCCGTAAACAGCTCAAAAAGAATCAAAATATTTTCAAAATTGTATGGTGTATAGGAAATGCTAATTTAAACATTCAGTGCCATTTTCATGTATCTACAGTTGTTCGTTTTTGAATTACAACAAAATAAGGAAATCGCTACATGAGAAATCGAGTGAATATCCAATGTTGTAAAAATTTGAATTTCAAAAGTTCATAAAAATTTAATTTGACTTTCTTATAGACATTTTTTTTTTTTGATAAAGGTAGATAATCTTTTAAGGAATCTTGTATTACATTTTCAAATCTTAGATTTAAAAAGAAAAATTTTTACGAATTCTTAACTCAAAATAATTTGCTAATTTTCGTGATTTTTCCATATTTTGTCAATTTTTGAACTTTAAATGCTTATAAAAAAAAATTGTGACTAAGGATTTTTAATATTTTTCATCTGCCTTTGAAACAATATACTAGGAGCCTTCTATTAAATTTTCAAGCTCTCGCAACCAATAAATAAAATTGTATTGATATTTTTAGAAAAGAATATAAAAAAAAATGGAAAATAAAAATGTCTCTAAACAGTTCAAAATAAATCAAAATATTTTTAAAATGTTATCGTGTATAGAAAATGCAAATATAAACAACCAGTGAAAATTTCATGTATATACGTTCATTTATTTTAGAGTTACACCAAAAACCAAAATCGATTTTTTGGAAAACTGATTAACTTAAATATTCCCGTTTTTCCTTAATATTTGTGTTGTTTTTCCCGGCGCTTGTGAAAACTACTGGGAAATTTTTACTTTTGACCCCCCCAAAGTACCAACTAGATTCACTTTCCTATCAGAAAAGATACTGTTGAAGAAAATCCAAGCACATTTACTGTCCTAAAACGTGATGACAGACACAAAAAAAAAAATAAAAAGTAAAACCAAAATTAATAAAAAAAAAAACACATCATTGTAAAATCAATACATACATTGTTTCACTCAGAATCTAATAGACTTTTTTTATTTTTCCCGTACATAGATATGATATTATTAACATCAACGTCCACGGGCCAACCATTTATTAATAATGATAAGCTATATTAAATATTAATACAATAAATAGAATTATCAGAATTGACAATAGTTCGTACTTCGTAGTACTCATACCAACATAATATTAATTATTATATAGGTATACATTTATAACAATATTATATAGTTATTTACGCTGTACACATCACACAGGTCTTACTGCATATAATTGGTACCTACCTTATTGCTTATTAGAATAGTTATTATATTCTAAACGGAATTAATTGATTACGTGTTATGAAACAATAATATAATATCTATAAGAAGTATAGCATAATATTATTATTATTTACAACCACCAACTTGACCACCACCACCACCACCACCACCCAAAAAATTTGGTCGGGCGAACGCCCGACCTATACCCCGTGTTCGGCGCCACTGCACAAGAGTACAAGATATTATATACAATACATACACAAATAAAACAAAAGGTAACTAATAAAGGTGATTACGTGTATATGACCAGTTATTGCTATTATGATAATATGTGATGTGTAATTTTAATCGTATTTTACAGACTTTATTGGGAAAACAGGATATGGCAATTGCAGCCTTTCGGAATTCCTGAGCGATGTAGGATGATACAGCTTGTAGGTATACAAAATAATAACATAATATATATTATATATATATAAATAATTATTATTAGCTAATAGCTAATAGCTAATTATAAAATTATCCCTCAATAGTTTATGATTAATACTAATATTAGTTTATAATTGGACTGAGAAAATTTCGTCATTTTACCATCACGTCTAGAACCGAATGGTTGTAACGTATATTTTTATTGTTTAACAATATCAAAGGAGTTTATAGTTTATTTTAAACACAACTACCAGAGGTAAGTAAAAATTACATTTGTTTATTAATTTGATATTATTCATTACTGTAAGTTAATTTACTGTTGGATAAAATACATGACTTGCCTACCTATTATTCGGAGGCCATCATTCTACAAAAAAAAAAAAAAAATCGAACGTAAAAACATGGTTTTTTTTTTGCCTAATGGTACTCGATGTTCATCGATCGAAGAAACATAGTTTTGATAACAAAAAAAGTGGATGTCGCTCTGCTGTACAGTAGGTTACAAGTGGGTCACTGTATAATGGATGCTTTTAAATTTGAATTCAATGATACAATATCATTGTATAAGAAAAACGATTCTGAGCGAAGAAGGTATGTCAGTCTAGGTTTAAGACAAATTATATATATATCTATGGTATTAAAAAAAAAATTGACCTATAATAAATTCCAAATTAATCATATCACATTATCACAATATCCATTAGGTACTTATAACACGTTATACATCAACATCAATAACAAACCCTGATACTATCATAGATATATAATAGTACACTTTAGAAGTTTCAAGTAGGTACCCACGAATAATATTATATAATCACAACAAAATAACTAGGTTTTTTAATATGTAATTTCGTCCAAATTTGAACATAAAATGACTATAAAAAGAAACTGTGATTGTATATTTTTTAGATTTTTCGGTAAGAGAATTAACTACTTACGTGGAATCTTGTTTTAAATTTTCAATCCTTAGCTATAAAAACTGAACATTTTATAATTTATTAATTACGATGATTAATAATTTTCGAGATTTTTAAAAATTCTGTCAAAATTCGATGTTAAAATGCTTATAAAAAAAAATTGAGCCTATGTATTTTTAATATTTATCAACTGATATTGTAACAATATATCAGGAGCCTTGTATTACATTTTTACACTTTTTGGCCCAACAGATAAAACTTAATTGATATTTATAGAAAAAAAAAACTAAAAAATTGAAAACTGAAAATGTCCGTAAACGGCTCAAAAAGAGTCAAAATATTTTCAAAATTGTATGGTGTATAGGAAATGCTAATATAAACATTCAGTGAAATTTTCATGTATCTACAGTAATTCGTTTTTTAATTACAACAAAAAAAGGAAATTGCCACATCGAGTGAATATCCAATGTTGTAAAAATTTGAATTTCAAACGCTCATAAAAATTTAATTTGACTTTCCGGTAGAGATTTTTTTATTGATAAAGGTAGACAATCTTATGAGTAATCTTGTATTAGATTTTCAAATCTTAGATTTAAAAAGAAAAATTTTTACGAATTCTTAACTCAAAATAATTTGCTAATTTTCGTGGTTTTTCCATATTTTGTCAATTTTTGAACTTTAAATGCTTATAAAAAAAAATTGTGACTAAGGATTTTTAATATTTTTCATCTGCCTTTGAAACAATATATTAGGAGCCTTCTATGGAATGACCTTTGTAAATGTCAATGGAAAATGTTCAGACTGTCATTCCATGTTCTATGGAACAATTGATGCAGTTCCAGCAACAAATGCGAGGTCAGTATAATATATTGTTTTATTAAATGTGTACACGATTCATAGTAGAAACATTGCTTTGAATTTTAGTTTTGAGGATGTTTTCTGATACCAAAATAAATCAAGTTAGTACTATTGGGAGGGAACAATTTAAAATTCTTATTACTTTTTAAAATTATTGAGAAAAAATAATGAAGGAATAACGTTAATTCTCATATGCAATGATTTATTTGTAATTTGTACATATTAAATGGAAACATCTAACAATTATAATTTTTCATATTGTATTTTAAATTAGGGTTATAATGAAGAGCAGTTTTCATGGAGATTTCCGTAAGATGCATAACCATAAACGAAGATTAATTGGATCACGGAAAGAAAGAGTTATGAATACAATGATGAATAAAAAAACTGATCCTTCTGTATTTGTTCGAGAAGAAGCTGCTGTACTTATGAGAGAAGGTAATTTGCTATATTTATTATTTTACATTTTATTATTTTTATGTCTTAAAAATCATATAGGAGTGTTATTAAAATATTATGAATACTTTAAAGTTCTAAGAAACCCTATTTTAGATCCTGAGTGAAACGATAAATGTATTGATTTTACAATGATGTTTGTGTTCTTTATTTTGTTTTGTGTCTGTCATCACCTTTTAGGACAGTACAAGTGCTTGGATTTTCTTCAACAGTAACTTTTCTGATAGGAAAGTGCATCTAGTACCAAAGTATCAAAGTACTACTTTGGAGGGCCAAAAGTGAAAATTTCCCAGTAGTTTCAGTATCTAGATTCTAGAATCTAGATTGTACATCGAATAAACATTTATTATTAAATTTCTATTTTTTTAATCAAATTTATTTTTTTTATCAAAAAGATTTTACCAAGATTTTTATCAAATTTAGTTTTTTTATCACATTTAAATCTTACGAAGATTTTTTTATTCTATTTAGAGTTCTTTTATTTTATTTACTATACATTTTTTATCTTATTTAGATTTTTTTATGAAATAATAATTTTTTTTATCAAATTTGGTTTTTTTATCATATCTAGAATCTCAATTGTATATCAATTATACATTTTTCTTTCAAATTTATATTTTTTTATCAAATTTATTTTTTTCATCAAAAAAATTTTACCAAGGTTTTTATTAAATTTAGTTTTTTATGACATTTAAATCTTATAAATATTTTTTTATTCTACTTAGAGTTGTTTTATTTTATTTACTATACATTTTTTTATCAAGATCTTTACCAAATTTAGATTTTTTAAAGATTTTTTTATCAAATTTTTTTTTTTTATAATATCTAGAATCTCAATTGTATATCAAATATACATTTTTCTTTCAAATTTATATTTTTTTTTACAAATTTATTTTTTTATTTTTATAGATTTTTTATTTATTTTTAGTTTAATTTTATTTTATTTTATATACATTTTTGTATCAAATAAAGAATTTTTTCAAGATTTTTACCAAATTTAGATTTTTTAAAGATTTCTTCGTCATATATAGATTTTTAATCAAATATTGATTTTTTTTATAAATTAATTTTAAATAAAAAAAGTTAAATTGAAAAAAGAAGATCTATAATGAATAGAACAATAAAAAATATAAAATCTAAGTATAGTAATAACTGCAATAAATTTACTAATATTTGCGAACTATTAGCTTAATTTTGAAATTGTTTCGGATCCTACCATATAAAATGGGTGGGTCAAGTTCATGGACTTCATGTAGATACTTACTACATAGTAGGTACATAGCTTATAATTTTAAAGATCTATATTTGCCATAAACTCATTTTACCTCAAATCCCATAAAAATATTTTCATTATCTTCCTTAAATTTTAATTACACTGTCCAATATTTATGATATTTCAAAAAGTTGAATTCAAATTTATTGTATATGAAACAAAAATATCTTTCAGGTGATGCCGTTCCTGCCCAAATACCTAACTTAGGAGCGTTGCGAGTTCCAAAGCATAGAGCACTGGTTAGTAATAGGCTTCATTCAGATCCAATGGTTGCCGTGAGAAAAATGAAATATCTTGGAGAATTTCCTAATACTATTCATGACATTGTTTATGATAAAACATTCGTTCATTTTTGGAGTAACTTACAGCTTCAAATTTATAAAGAGTATTCAAGAAAAGAAAGGATCATAACTGTTTCATTCGATGCTACAGGTGGTTGTGTTAGAAAAATTAAAAGAAACGAAAATATACGTAGTGGCCCAATTTTTTTGTATGAAGGTGTCATGAGTATTGATCAACATACCTTTACTGTTATGTCTATGCTCTCTGAACGCCATGACAAATTATCTATTAGTATATGGCTTAACAGATGGCTTCGTTGTGGAGTTAAATCCAAAAAAATCGTTATATGTGACCAGTCTCTTGCCTTAATGTCAGCTTTAACTCAAACATTTACTCAGTATAAATCCTTTGAGCAGTACCTTCAAGTTTGTTTTTCGATTGTAGTTTTAAAAAAAGAAGAAGAGCTTCCGACCTGCTTCATAAGAAACGATGTCAATCATTTTGTACACCTTATATCGCAATGGAAAGAAGTTAAAGACTCCAAATTTGTCCGAACAAAAGAGTTAATTATAAGGGGGATGGGACTCCTTATTCTTTGCACATGTATATATGAAGCTGAGCAAATATTAGAAGCGATGTTTACGATAATTTGAAGTAAATTTGATGGTCCTATTTTATCAGAAATGTGTAATTCAGTTGCTGATACTCCGTGTGCTGAAAAAAAGAAATTCCTTTCTAAACTTATTTCAAATAAAAAACACTATTTGGAATTTGTAGAACAAATAGATACTGAATACCACCAAACAAATAATGATGGGAATGATAATGATAATAATGCAAATTCTACTTCTTTGGATTCCTTTAAACAATGGGCTCAGTCAATAGCAGACAAAGCTAGAGAAAACACCAAAGATATAATTGGTCAGTTTGATAATGCTCAGTTTCTTCCAAGCTTAGAGTCGTGTATAGTAAATACCATGAAATTCTTCCCATGTTGGTCTGGAATTATGAGAGATAATTTTGGATATGGAACAGAGACTGCTTCTAGTAGTAGAATAGAAAGTAACTTCAATCAATTGAAGAATAGACTTTTTAAAAATGAATCATTACCCTTAAGAATAGACACGTTCTTGGAAAAATTATTAATTTATTATAAAGGTGACCATTTGTTGATACAAGGAGATAATCAAGATTGGGAAGATGGGATTTCAACTGAAAATGAACCAGTCCATAATCCAGACATGCTCAATATATCAACTGTTGGATATAAAAATAATTGTGTTCAATATACTCCACCCGCAGAACAAGAAGTGATGATTGATAGGTATTATGTAGATGATAATACATCATTACAATATGACATTCAAGAATGGGAAGACAGTATTTTATTTGAAAATGAACCTGATACTTTTCCCAAAACCAATAATAATCTAGTAAATGATAATGTATTTCAAGACAATCAAAGAACCGTACAAAACGGTAGCAGTAATGAGGATGAAGATGAAATTATAAGGATCTCTAAAAATATAAATGTATCTGATATTGTAATCGATGAAAGCAATAATATTGAAAAATTAAACAAAAATAATCATTATAAGCAGAAAATTGTACAAGAAACATTATTAAATGAAAAAGAAACATGTAGTGCTTCTACAAATGAAGATTATTCTATGGGATTACACAAATGCATGTTTTGTAAAAAAATCCGTTCCTATCTTCGGATGTTCAGTTTCAACACCAGATGGTAATAATGATTATGGACTGAAAAGAATATGTAAGGACTGTGATAGAAAAAATTCAAATATGACTGAAAATAATGCAACAGAAGTGTGGAAAAAAACCGTTATCAAAAAAAAGAGATCTTCTCATTCATATCTTGTTTCACAAGCAGGTTTCGAGCATGTTGGTTTTAATAAAAAAGGTTCAATCACTCCAATATTTTTGTTAAAGAATGGAAATAGTTTTACTAACAGAGCGATTATGGTTCCCGGAGTAGGAAAAATGTTATTGAATAACACTTGTTCGGTAGATTCAGTGTTATCAATTTTAGCATCATCAGCTGCCGACAGTTTAAAATTTAAAAATGCCATTATAAATAAGTCATCATCGAATAAAACTGCTAAGTTCATATTAAAGATGATTTCACAAAATGATTTCAAGGATATTTACTACGAACGATTATTACTTGTTTTGCAGATTTTTGGTGATAAAATAAAATATCTAGTTGGTGGGCTAAAATCCATTGATATGACTAACACAGCAGTATCAATGGCTAGTAAATTAATGGCACACATGCCATCATTTATCAGAAATAGCAATTGCAAAAATAACTTTTGTTCTGTAAAATATATTGAGACAACTTCTACTATGATTTCATTAAATAAATTCAACGACGAGTTTTCAATCCAAGAAGAATTATATGAATATCTCAGAGAATCAGAAGAGAAATGTGTTTACTGTGGACATCAAAGGATATCTTCAATTCATCCTACTACGCATATTTTGGTTGAGCTGATTTCACTGCCCGAAGGTAAATATAAAATATTATAAAAATGTATGATCTATTTTTTTTTTTCATGTCGTGCAAAAATACATTTAATACATTCTCCTTTAGATTTAGAAGCATCGACCAGTACAGTTAATATTGAGAAATCTTCGGTAACATTGGTGAGACAAAACTTTGCGAAACCAAACAATATAAAATTATGTGAAATAGAGAAGAACCTAACAGCTATTTCGGAAATGTATTACCTACGAGGGGTAATTAATTTTCATGGTGGTGAACGTCGAGGGCTCCGGTCATCCACAGGCCACTATACTGCCAGCGCTTTTCGAAGCAACGGGAAATGGGAAACCTATGACGATATGAAAACAACAGTTCAATCCACTAAACAAGAATACGATGTAGAATTTTTAATTTATACAATTTGATGTTTTTAATTTTTAACTTTATTTTTTTCAACCAATTTAAATTATTAAATATTCAAAAGGAATTGAATAAAATAGGTAAGTGTAATATAATTTATTAACAAAGGCCAATGTTAACTAAAATTATTTGAATAATTATAATTTTATTTAAAAAAATAAATTAAACACTTTTAAAGGTATTATTAAATGGTATTACATATATTTTTCCTGTTATGCAAATCGTTATGCACAAAATCCAGATCAATCCATATCCGGATTGAGACAGATGTTACAATCCGTTTAATCCGGATTTAATATGCCAATCCGGATTATGATACAAATTATTACAAAACGATTTGAAAAAAAAATTTTCATATTACACTATTACCTTAATTTAAATAGTATGATGATTTTAAATAATATGTAAATATGGTTTTGTTCCCGGCTAATGACTATAATGTCGAAGCCGTAATAAATTAATTTAAAAAAAAAAATTAATAATAATAATATAATATAATTTTTTTTCGTTGGTTTTTTCATTTTGGTTTTTTTTACCTGATTTTTTTTTCCGTATATATTCTTACTACATAAACATAGGTATCTAATAATATATTGAGAAAAACTCAAAAAAAAATGAGATCGTATATTCGTATTATTTAGGTAGATATAATAATGAAAAAAAAATCTGATTATCTCAAAAACAATGAAGCCGAATCGGATCCGAAATTCGGATTGAATAATTGTAATCCATAATCCGGATTGGTCAAAATAATGCTCAGCACAACACTGGACTCTCAGTTGCTAATTTCAACTGGTGGTAAATGATATAGCGATATGGACTTGTTTTTAAATTTACTGTGAGTGGTTCTCAATAATTTAAGGCCTTTTAATAACGCTGCTTGACCTTATTGATGCCTTACAGACCATTGATATACATGGGCAGCATAGCGACATAGAACTAACCTGAGTAGATAACCGTGGTTAATAGTGATCAATTTATAAAAAATATATTTACCATGCGTTAGTAATTAAGTTACTTCTCAGTTGTCCTATTCTGCATAAAGGAAAATAAATCCAGCATAGTATTATATATTTATATACTATGGTCATTTTTAGGGTCAATGACTCTAACTTTTACAGTGAAAAAATAAATAAATAAGAAAGACTAATTATTTTCTAATAATAAGTAATAACCATAGGTGATGATATGTTTATAATGTAATGTCATGTACCAGGGGGTGAATCCAGAAATTTTTTTTTGGGAGGGGGGGAATTGTGTTTATACTTACGACTAAATTTCCTAAATTGTAACATAACACATGAAAATTTAAAGCAACAAAAGGTAAGCTTGGCACCAGAAATATATAAAAGAAAAAATTGGATCCAAAATATTATATAGGTACATATTATACAAAAATACATAATACAATCCTAATTTTAGGGATTTAGTGTGATGGGGGGGGGAAGGGGGTCGCCTTCTTCGCTCCCCCAGAATCCGGCAAGCCATGTACCTACATTAATTTTAAGAGCATTTATATCATGGGGCACTTTATATCAGCTGCATACCCTGCGAACAAAGTCTGTGCACGCCTATGGTTAATACTATTAATATTCGAATAGTTAATACTCTATTTACTATTTATCTAATAGTCATTAATCATTACCATTATTATTATGAAATGTAATGATAGTACATATTTTATAAAATATTTACTTAAGAAATTTTGTGTTTATATTGTAATATTAAAAAAATATTTTTTCTCGTACCCTTAATTTTTATAAAATTGCTTCTGACCATTTTTGGAACCATTTTAGAGTCGATAAAACGATTGTATAATAACCATGGAATTGGTGTAACAGTTACACACCTTTTAAAATTAGGATTAAAAATGTGTACAAATGAAATAACAATCGTTGATACTAATTTGGAGTCGGTGGGACCAATACAAGCCGATGGCGGTACTGGCGTAACGTTACCCCAGTACCGCCAAAGGAAAATTGATTTTCCAGAGTTTGGGGAGGTGTACAAATGTTTTAATTAGGATTACAAATGTGTACAAATGAAATAACAATCGATAGGATACATTTTGACTTTGATTTTTAGTTTGGTGGTACTGGGGTAACGGACCTGCGGTTGAATCTATGTTCCATACAACTAAGAACCTAGTTTTTAAAGATGTCGATCTTCCAACAACCTTGGAGACATTCCTTGAACGTCGTATAATATCCCTTAAAGGTAGTGCTTTATTAAATAACTATGAGGCATTAAATGAGGAAAATGAAGTGCATAGTAGTCTTCTAATGTCCAATGTTTCACAGTTTAATGCAATATGTGATAACGAGAATAATATACCATTGTTGCCCTGCAGTAGAAATGAAAATAAAATAACTCGAATCAACTGTCAAGAACTCGAGTCTTCAAATCAAATAAACGCAATTCGTATCAGTTCAAAAGTTAAGTATCCTTTGTGCAGTTCTGGTAGAATACAAGTGACTAGTGGTATGTATAAGTGCAATACGTGTGGTTTACCAGTTCATGCTATAGAAGGATCTTCTTATAACTATGTTAATGAAGATACTGTGGAATTATGTAGTGATTGTTTTAATGGTTCGATAAATACTAATAACAGTAATTCATATAGTTCTAATACATTATCTCAAATTTTTGAAACACCGACAGAAGGTCATATAGACAACGGGGAACAAAGTATACTGAATTTATACACTGAGCAAAAAATAAACAACTCCAATAAGAGCCAAAATCAAATAAACAAAATTAGTTTGATTAAAAACAATGATGACATCTCCAATGAAAATATAGCAATGGAAAAACCTAACCTAACTGGAATAGGCAAAAAAAAAATCAACAAAATCCTATTTATTGCCAAATCCTCATCTAAAATATATAGATATGACAGCCAGACAAACAAAATCCCTACCATTGCTAAAAAATGGTTCAAGAGCAGAAGATCTGAAGGCATTATCTTTGAAAAAATATGGCTCAGTTATACTTTCAAATACATGTGCCTTCGATACAGCCGTTTTTCTCCTTAAGGTGGCTTTTTGTGAAAGTGAGAAGTATTTTAATTCATTGAGTTCTTCTCATGAAGACTGTACATTTATAGTATTTATTAAAAAAATATTATCCAAATGAGTTACAGTAGATACTTATCGGCAACGGGCGAGAATCATCATAGAGACCCAAAAACCAACGTCAACACCACTAAAGTATGGCCAAAAGCTCGTTAAATGTGATACCACATTCGGAAATTTGTTAAAGTGTATGTTACCAAAATATCCAACATTCATCATGTTCAAATGATCAATGTAATAAAAACAAATACGCATATACATATTTAACATATATATTTCATGAAAACTTTGATACACTACAAGACTTTATTAACACACGTATCAAACAAAGTAAAAACAAATGTACAAATGAACTCTGCAATGGTACAGTGACATTAATTCCTGAATTGTCAAAGGATCATATTTTTGTTGAAACATTTAAATTTAACGAAGGTAATTATAACAACAATAAAATAAATAGACGAAATAATTTTTACATATTATATTCCAATTAAATGCGAATTAATATATATACTTTAATATTTTCAGGAGTATCAAATACAACGTTAAAAATAAAACTTAATGATATTCCAGAGGTACTGGCCATAGACAATTTAAGCTATCAACTGAAAGGCATTACTTCATTTGTTAATGGTGGTGAATTAAGTGTGTCAAGTGTGGGTCATTATAAAGCTTATTGTAAGAGAATAAGTTCGTGGGAAGTGTATGACGACTTGGCTACAAATTCCATAACTGTAAATTCTATGACTAAAGTTTCTTGTAATTTTATTTTATACACAATTTAATAATACAATTGGAAGCAAGTAAAATGTTTTTAAAAATGTACATTCATTTATTTGATAGTACCTATTAGAAAAAACATTTATACAAAGAAAAACTTAATGTTATTTACAATACTCTAATATTTTACTATAATGTTTTTAACTATAGAAACTAGAAAGGTACCATAAGATTATTATTTTAACAAGATAAATATTTTTTTTTTTGATAATACAGAGAATATATCAATAGATATTTGCAAATCTTTGCAAATATTTTTAAATCATTATATTATATTAATCATCACCTCAGAATGAAAAGGTTCTAACGTAATCTATGTAATTGTTCAGGGGAACGTTTTTAAGTTGGACATTGAATAACTTTTTTCATCATAAATACTAAATCTTAAAAATTGTATACAATATCAAGAGAGTTCTACAAGACACATTTTTACCGGCGATTTGTTTTTCTTCAATTATACATCGAGTAAATATAAAAAAAATAAAATATAAGTTTAAGAATTCAAAGGTTTTACATGTAGAACTTTATTATTCTGAAAATAAAAATTATTTATTTAGTTAGAACATTTTCATTCTGAATTAAATAATTTTTTCTATACAGTGACACCAACTTCTAAGTGTTAATTTTATTATAAATTATAAAATTTTAGTATGCAATATTTTTATTTTTATGTAAAGTAATATTATATTATGACATACCTATGAGTACGGGGAGTTCAACACCCCTCTTCCCGAAAATGTATAGTTGTATAATTTATTCATATCAATCATCTATGACCTCCCCACCAAAATATACTATGAACCCCCCCGGCGAATTTTTTTGTGTACTCGCCTGGACATATACCTATTGTAAGTGATATGTTACAACTGTACAAGACTAATCACTGCAACACAAAAAAAAAAGGTGGTAATAAGTTCAATACAATTTTAGTATGACACAATAATAATTTATATTGTATCAGTGGTACGTATTATAAAAGTTACATTTCATTCTAAAACATTACGCTTAAGATCGATTAGAACTATTTATTCTTAATAATTGTTTAGAATTAAAAGGTTTGGGTTATCCAAATTGCACGGGATTCACCCATTTCTCCAGCCCCCCGCCCTTAAATGGGCATAACTTTTTTTGGTTTTCTTTACAAACGAAAGTTTTGCTCTTACAAAACTTTACAAACGACTAACAAACGATTGGGACGAAAAAAGTTTGGGTTACCCAAATTTCACGGAATTCACCCATTTCTCCAGCCCCCCGCCCTTGAATGTGCATAACTTTTTTTGGTTTTCTTTACAAATGAAAGTTTTGCTTTTACAAAACTTTACAAACGACTTACAAACGATTGGGACGAAAAAAGTTTGGGTTATCCAAATTGCACGGAATTCACCCATTTCTCCAGCCCCCCGCCCTTAAATGGCCATAACTTTTTTTAGTTTTCTTTACAAACGAAAGTTTTGCTTTTACAAAACTTTACAAACGACTTACAAACGATTGGGACGAAAAAAGTTTGGGTTACCCAAATTGCACGGAATTCAACCATTCCTCCAGCCCCCCGCCATTAAATGGTCATAACTTTTTTTGGTTTTCTTTACAAACGAAAGTTTTGCTTTTACAGAACTTTACAAACGACTTACAAACCATTAGTTATGTTTTTATGCTAATTTTTGAAATTGGGGGGCTGGAGAAATGTCCGTCCTTTCTTTTTCGTTTTATATCTAATCTAATAGGTAATACATTGTAATGTGTAATACAATATTTTGTTAGTTGCGAATTGCTGTTGATTAATTTTTTTCTTATTATCATTACTGTTTCACATAATATTATGACACCATTGATGACACTATTTTATTATCTAACAATTATAATATTATGTAGTTTGTACTACATACTACGTCACCGTGAATGGATATAATTTCTTTTGTCACTGGGTGGTCATTGCTGTGAATAATAGTAACTCTCAGATGAGACGGAAACACATATATTATTTACTTTTTTATGTCAAACTTTTTCAAGTACCATTCAGTCGTTCTACATTCAATATTATAGTGACTTGGTAGACTGCTAATTTATTTATTTTAGTGGAGTAATGCCACTGTACAAATAGCTGTTAACTATTTTTAATACTTATTATAATATCATAGGTATTCTTATGTAAAAAAGTTAAAACAATATTTAATAGTTGTGTAATTTATTTTATATTATAAGACAATATTTTTACAATAATTGATATTGTATTTGTTCCACTCATTGTAGACTATTAATTCTAAAATCTTTTATTGACGTCGTATTTATTTATTTGTTACATAATTTAGGCATAATTCTATGCAACACATACCTGGGTCATTAATTTCACTGACATCCTTAGAACCCTTATAACTATTATCTTATTTTCTCCACACACCACACATATAATTTATTGTGTTACAATAGTATGAACAATATGTATTGGTAACTTACAAAAATTTAAAAAAATTTTCATACCGTACGCTCAGTACACACAGTCATTTCAAAATATACAGTTGGAAAGGAAAAGGAAAAGAAAATATAATTGTAAATGAAATAGTCATGTTTTTTAGGCCATTGTTTTATTGATCATCTGAAAAAAAAACAAAGAATAAACGTAGAAAATTGTTTGTTGAGAACAAATGTCCCGTTAAAAATTTACTTCGCTTCTACTCTCGGCACCTGAAAATAATATGTTTGATTAGAATTATTAATTTCAAAAACTAAAGTATTTATATTTATATTGCATCCTTACATCGCACTGCCCCGGCGGTATAGGAGGCATCACTAATTTCCTGAAAATGATGTGTTTAATTAGAATTATCAATATCAAACACTTAAATATTATATAAATATATCCTTACGACATTTGGCGGTGGCGACTCACACGCAGTGACGTACAGCTGCTCTTGAAAATAATTTGTTTAATTAGATTTATCAATTTTGAAAACTAGATTATTTTTTTAATTTTTTTACTAATATATCTTTAAAGAGCATACTAATATATTATACTTACATCTTTGGACGGTGGCGCCGTGGCCGCTCGGCTTCGCGACCGTTGCCGACAGACCTCCTGAAAATTATTCGTTTAGTTATATTTATATAGAAATGTAATTAGATTTATTTTTAAATATAAATTTATATCCTTACGTTTGACGATGGTCGTGATGTTGGGGACTGGGATCTGGAGAGGCGCCTATCACGGCTAGCCCTTACCACTGCCACCTCCCCGACGCCTTTCGCCATCACGACCACTGCCGCAACCGCCACCACCTCCCCGCCGCTTACGCTGTACCATTTCGCGACTTCGACTACTACTACTGCCACCGCCACCACCTACACGTCTGGACTTGGCTACAATATAATTTACAATTTATATACATAATATTAAGACTGTTATTAAGGAATATGTAAAGGAAACACTCACCGCAATCCCGGGAGAGGTGGCCGTTTTCCCCACAGTTGTAACATTCTGAAACGGGGAGATATAATTTTAATCGTTTCTAATTTCAATTATTAACCAAATGTATGATTACGTCGGGCGCGGTCCTCCTCTCTCCCGATGAACACGGTGTATTTTCTATTGAAGTTGAAAGTACTCATTCTAAAGTTAATAAATAAAAACAAATAAAGAAAGTTGAAAAAAACAATTGATTGCTCTGCATTATTAGGTTTTTGATGATTAGAAAATATTAAATTCGTTAAACAAAAAACATGTGGTGCACACTCAAACAAAGCCACGGTTTTCTTCGCAAATGTAAATGGTACAACAATATCATTTGATTAATGCGATCGGAGGTGAACGTGTTAAAAACAAAGAAAAATAGAAAAAATATTTAATTTGTTTCACAGAAACCATGTGTTGCAGACAAAACTAAGTCTCGATTTTCGTCGCAAATTTATATATTACTATAATAAGATATTACTAATTCATAAAAACGATCCGCGTTGGACGTGTTAAAAAAATAATCCATTGTATCTTATTATACTCATTCTAAAGAAATCAAGAAAGTGTACCTATACTAAAACTTTTATATTATTATAATAATTTATTAATTGATATATACGATCCGCGTTGGACGTGTTGAAAAAACTGCAAGGCCCTCGTGTAGTCGTGTACCTACGCTTGGCAATTGCCGCTAATGTTTTATACGTTGTTACTCTGAAGTTGACAAATAAAA